GAGAATCCCACCATACGCCACAACACAGATGAACCCTGAAGATCTTACGCTCATGAAATAAGCCAGACAGGAAAGGACAGCTCCTGCAAGACTCCACTCACGTGAGGACCCAGAGTCATCAAATTCAGAGACACAAAGCAGAAGGGCAGGTGCCCGGGCAGTGGGGAGTCAGAGTCAGTGTTTGATGGGGAACAGAGTTCTGATTTGGGCTGATGGAAAAGTCTGGAAATCATGGTATGATGCTTGCACAACACCGTGAACGTGCTTCACGCCACTGAGTAAACACTGAAAATGGTTGAAAGGGAGGCCCCAGCTGATCCTGTGGGTCCCCCTCTTGTGCTTCCTGGACCCGAGAGGGCCAATCAGGCCCTTCTGGAAAGGCAGATCATGAGCCACACTTCCAGCCCGTCTGACAAAGGCTGTGGCGGCGATGGCCTTCTGTCAGAGAAGCCACAGAGGGCAGGAGGGAGAGCTGACAAAGCCACCCGTGGGGGCGGGGACTGTCGAGGGCTAGGGGATGCCAGACCCAGAAGTCCTGCTTCCCAGATCTGCTCATGAGGCCGGCCTCCTGCCCTGGCTCCCTGCCCCTGAATCTGTGTTTAGGACAGTGTGAGAAATGTCCCATTGCCCCAATCAAACCTAGCTTGTAAGACAGCAGCCTCTAACCCCTGCAAAACTCCAATGTTCTGAGTGGTGTCAGGTGAAAGAAATCATATACAAGGGAAGAGAAAGGCAAGATGGTCCCTTCTGTGGGCCGCATGGTCCCCACACGCAGCTGGGTGAGCTGGGAGCCCGAGCGAGGCCGAGGGGCTGACTGGATTCTGCTTCTCTGAGCACCGGCTCTGGGGCCTGACAGTCCTTTTCAAGAGGCAGATCTGGAGGAGTGGGAAAAGGTGCCTTCCCCACCCTGTGGTGGGGAGAAAGAGGGACTCTTAAACGTGGGCAATGTCACAACACACTCAGATGCACCAAAATGTCACCCAACAGATTTCCCAAGGGTTAAGAAGGTGCTGAACAATTAGGGAGATGGTGGGAACAAACTGAAAGAAACCCTTGTCTACCTAGAATCTAGAACTCAAAGGACAGGGACGCCCCTCCTCCTCGGCCCCCTCCCGTGCACCGTGAGGCTGACACCTTATCCCACCGTCCTGGGCAATGGGGGCCCCTTCTTCTACCTCAGCCACCAGGCCTTCCCCAGTGAAGCGGGCTGTCACTGAATAGTTACCTTATGTGACCACCTGAGCAGCGACCAAACCACCAGACGTTTGGATGCCTTCAGTGCCAGCTGCTCTTTTTGCAAAGGCGTGTGCTGCCTTCCTTCTGCCAGCCCCTTCGGATGCTCAGGGCAGGGCAAGGAGTGCCCAGCTGAGACGCAACAGCCAGGCTGGAGCCAGCCATGTGCTCCCCAAGACTGGACGTCCTGGACCCCAGCTCTGACCGGGGGCCCCAGCCTATACTGCAGCCTGATGCTCCCCTGTACCCAGGCCTGGGCCATGTCCCCTCTCCTGCCTGCACGCCCCCATCCAGCTGGCCAGCAAGGCCCTCTCTCCATGTGCCCCCCGCTCCCCAAGCCTCTCATACACCTTGACCCCCACCCAGCCGCCACTGACTCCTCATCAGGGAACAGGAACCCCCTCCCTGAAGGGGACTTACGCTGGAACTTAGGGTTTGTTTTACAGGGGTAAAGCCCCAGAGTGCTCGACCATGAGAGCATCCCTGTGTGGAGAACATGTAACCCCTGAAGCCCCCACCCAGGGAGTGGCCTTGCCCATGCCTCCTGCAGCTTCTGACCCCTGTGGAGCGCCGCCCATTCACTCGCTCATCCCGCGGGCCTGGCTCCCAGGTGGGGAGGCCAAGTCTAATAGAGGAGGCAAACTCCACCCCTGCCACTACCAGAAGTTGAGACTCTGGGGCCTCCGGCCGCCCAGGGATCTTCCAGGCCTGTCACAGGCTGTGCACCCTGCACACCGTGGGGCTGCTACCCAGGCGCCTGCTAGGTCCTTCCTTGCCTTCTTGCCTTCCTTCTGTCTGTACGAGACCTAATGGTCCTGAGAGGCTCACCTCCACCTCCCAGAACCTCCCACCCCCAGTGCATTCCTAGGGGATCTCAGCCCTCATGGCAGCCCTGCCCATCTCCATAGCTCCCCATTCCTCAGTCCTGGCTCCCTGCACCCCACTCTTCTGCTAGGGCTGAGCCCTACTGGCCACCTGGGCCAGGCTGTCCCTGGCTGTTCCCATGGGCACCTTCTGTCCCCACTCCTCTTCCCATTCAAATTGCTTTGTGGGGCTGCCTAAGTTTCAAAGGGAAAGAAAACAAAGGCAGAGTCCACAGCCAGAGCCTCTGCCCCTCAGGGGCTCTCTCTTCACACCCGTCGACATGTGTGCCTGCGTGGCATGTTCGTGGGCATGCATATACGTGTGTGGCTTGTGTCTGTGCAGTGTTCACACATGTGTGCATGTGTGCCTGTGGGGTGTGCGTTCACACGCATATCATGCGTGTGCATGTGGAGTGTGTGCGCCTATGCCTGTGTGTGCACACGGGTGTGTGGGGTGGGAGCTGGCCCCCCTGCACTCTCTCCTTTTGCCTCCTGACTCTCTGCCAGGACACCCTATGCTCCCACTCTCCGGGAAGAACAGCACAGAGACCGTACGGAATAGCCTGGGGAGCGAACCTGGGGGATCCCGTCACCCCTGGGGTAGGGGCAGCTGTCACCTGGAAGGACAGTGCTGCTTTTCTCCCCGGCCAGTCCAGCACCTGCCTCCACCTGGCCAGCGGCCTCTCTATGCCTGGGCTGGTTCCTCTCTTTCATTGGCGACATGAGGGCGAGTCACCAGCTCCACCTGGGACAGGCCTCCCAGCGAACTCCCGGCCCCTTCCCCTCCCGACCCCCTGCCCCAGCAAGCTCAGAGCACAGACATGAGCCAGGTGGGGAGGTCTCAGCCTCACTCCACACTGCCCGCCATGGAACTGCCTGCCAGGAAAGAGGCCTCAGATGCCCCCAGCTCTTTACGAGTCTCGGCCACTAGTGCCGACTCTCACGGGGATGCTGGGAGACTAGGAGAGCTGTTATCCCCACCATCATCTGACAAGTAAGGACACGGAGGGAGGCTGGGGAGCGTGAAGAGTGGTGGAGTGTGCTCCCCAAAACACGCCCCTTTAACATAAGGATGATGTCGAGTTAAACAAACGTGAAAAACAGATGTGAGCAGCGCACCCTGACCTCTTCCTTCCTGAAAACAGGAGATCAAGAAACAGAAACATTCTTATCACCAGAGGTGGGGCCGAGGCCAAGGGAAACCTGTGCAGACAGACCCTGTGAGCTGGGCCTGTACCGCTGTGCCCCTTCCCCACAACGAGCTGCCCTCCCAAGCCCCTCATCTCGCAGCATTTGCTGATTTCCTTCTCTTTGTCCACCCATCCCAATGTCCTCAGGTGGGAGCTGAGTTAGAGACGTGGGGTTCACGTGCCCCACCCAGCATCTCAGGGACCTGGGTGACCCTCCTTCCACGTGAAAGTGAGCCCTTCCCTGCTCCCCTGGTCTTAGAGCCCCGGGGCTGCCCTTACCCCCAGAACCCCAAATGGGGTCCCTGGCCTGGCTCTCCTGTGGGGTTGAGCACAGCAACGCCTGCTCAGGGCTGCCCCAACTCCAGCCCTGTCGCCCGGAGTCTGTCCCTCACATCTTCTGCGGCTTCACTGAGCACCAGGTGCTGGCAGCAATGCACCCCAACCACTTGCCTCAGGGGTCGGGCCCGCCCTGGAGCAGGGCAGAGGCTGGCCAAGACCGAGCCGGGAACATCTAGACCCCAGCGTGGGGGATCACACCCAACAGGTCCTCCGGCCAGGCACACCGTTAGGTCCTTCACAACAACAGCAGCAAGGATGGTTGCAGTCGCGGCGGCTAAGGGCTGCCTGGCAGCACTGTCCATGCGTCTTCCATTGATTCACCAAATCTCCACAAGCCCATGGATGGGGCAACTTCACACCATAATCCCTTATCCAAAACCTTGGGACCACGCGTTTCGGGATTTTTTGGCTTACAGACACACTCCTGCATCTGCAGTAAAGGTGTGAGGACCCTCAGGCACTGGATGACGGAAGCGCACACCGTCACAGGTCTCTTCAGGCCAGACTCTGCCACCAAGAGTTTTTGTGTCAAGCTTAAGAAACATTTTTTTGTTTTTTGGAACTTTTTGGATTTGGGAATTAAGAAGGAGTGTAATCCTCCTTGTACATGTGAGGAAACTGAGGCCCACAGAGGCTGGGTGGCTTGTCCAGGGGAGGCAGCAGAGACGGGGCAGCAACCCCACATCCCACAAGGCCACACCATTACAGCGCTGTGTGTTTCCTCTATCCTGGTTGTCGGCTTACAGCATGACAGGCCACATCCCAGTCCCCAGGCCAGGAGGACGGAGCCCAGGAGGCTGCCGGTGTTCAGCCTGACAGCACAACAACAAACCAGGACAACAGTCAACACCTGCTCCAGGCGCCCTGCAGGCAGGATGTGCCCCAGCCCCGGCCCAGCATGCACACCCAGAAGCTGAGTGTTACAGGCTACGTCGTGCCCACCCCAGATTCACATGTTGCAGCCCTACCTGGCCCCTGTACCTATGAATGTGGCCTTGTGGAAAGAGGGTCTTTAAAGAGGCAGTTGAGTTAAAATGAGTTCATACGGGGCCCTAATCCAGTATGACTGGTGTCCTTCTAAGAAGATATTAGGACACACACACACACACACACACACACACACACACACACACACACGAGGACAGGGAGAAAGCAGCGCTTACAGGTTAAGGAGAGGCCTCACCAGAAACCAATCCTGCGGACCCTGTATCTTGGACTCCCAGCCCCAGGACCGCGAGGCCTCTGTGGCACTTGCCAGGCCCCCATCTGCAGCGCTTTGTTATGCAGCCGAATCACGGACACCTAGGGCAGGGCGGCAGTGCAGGGGGTGACCCGGGCTCCCCTGGCAGCTGGGTGGGGACCAGGACAGTCTCACCTCCAGACAGATGACGGAGCCCTGGTGCTCCCGGAACACCCGCAGCTGCTCCCCACTCAGGATGTCCCAGGCACGGATGGTGGCGTCGGTGCTACCCGTGAAGGCCGTGTGGCCGGGCGTGTCCAGCACCAGGCACAGCACTGCGCCCGTGTGGCCCCGCAGTGTCTGGTGGCAGCAGCCGCTGGCCACCTGCCATACCTTGGCCGTGCCGTCCGTGCTGCCAGTCACCAGGAGCCCCCCAGCCACGGCCTCCTCCACACAGGGAGCGCTGGGGAGGTCCCACGGGGCAGAGTAGGCTAGAGGCAGCACGCAGTTTCGGTGGCCCTGGAACTCCCGGGATATCTGCCCCTTGTCCAAGCTCCAGACCCGAGCTGTCCGGTCGTAGGAGCTGCTGAAGAGCTGGTTGTTGGCAACCAGGATCCTGGGGGCAAGAGGGAAGGGGTCAGGGATCAGAAGGCACGGGTTCCAGAATCCACACAGCCTCCCAACGGGCCATGCTCAGCACTGCAGCTAAAATAACCTCTCCCTGTGTCTGCCCAGCTTGCCACACTCACCTTCCAAAGTCCAGCTCAAATTGCCCCCACCTCCAGGAAGCCACCCTGATTCCCCTCATGCCCACCCTTCCTTGCCTGCCCCTAGGCAGGTACCTGTAGCAGGGACCAAGCTTATATACTCTGCTGGGATCCCTCCAACATCCCCACAGCAGCTCTCCAGGAGCAGCGGGAAGGGGGTAAGGGTAGGGGGTAGGGGGAGGAGATAGGGGAGCACAGCCCTCCCAGCTTGCCCAGAGTTGAAAAGCTTCTGGGGATGCAGGGTTTTCAGCCTAAGACTGAGAAAGTCCAGGGCAGAGTGGGACATGCTGGTCACCCTGGGAACAGGGCCGGCTCAAGGGGCTGGGCCGGGGCACTTCAGATGAGGGCCCTGCGAGGCTGGAGAGCACTGGGAACTCCCATAGTGCACCCAGGGGTGCTTGTGGGAGGCACAGCCAGGAATCATGCCACAGCCAGTGGCGGCCTCTGCTGCCAGCCTCATGGCAATCCCCATGCAGACTGAGGTCACAGCCTCAACAGGGTTCCAGCCACAGGGCTGGGAACTGGGGGTTGGGTAGCCAAGAGAGTCCGTCTGTGATACCTTAACTTGTATTAACCTAATTGACTCTCTCTTAGCTGAGAAAGCTGGACAGATGGACTCCATTTGGCTCCTTCATTTGCAAGACATTAAGGGTTCCTTACCCACCCTTCCTCAAGGACTTAACTTGTGCAAGCTGACTCCCAGCACATCAAAGAATGCAATTAACTGATAATTGCTGTGCAATTAACTGATGTTGTGGCAAGCTACATCTGCAGTTCCCAGGAATTCGCCAGATCGATAGTACCGAAAGCCCCTGCGTTTGTGTCCAGTTGATAGCGCCCAAAGCCCAACCTTGTGATGGATTTAAAGCCCCGGCACCTGGAATTGTTTGCTTTCCTGTAACCATTTGTCTTTTTAACTTTTTTCCCTGTTTTACTTCTGGAAGATTGCTACAGCTAGACTCCCCCGCTCCCCTTTCTAAACCAAAGTATAAAAGAAAATCTAGCCCCTTCTTCCGGGACGAGAGAATTTTGAGCACTAGCCGTCTCACGGTCGCCGGCTAATAAAGGACTCCTGAATTCGTCTCAAAGTGTGGCGTTTCTCTCTAACTCGCTCGGTTACAACACGTCCATGCAGTGCAACTGACCGACCATGGGAGACCAAGGCCCCCACACAATATTCACGACTCTTATTTTCATTTTGATGAAAACCAAGAGCTCCCCAGAAAAACACACATTTGCAGTAGCTGCACATTCAGTGCAGAGCTTTGCACAGAACCTCAGGGGGTCTGCACACACACCCTTGGTAAGAAGCCCTGCACCCCAGAAGAGGAGACCGCCAAGGGATGTGGCCGTGGCTGCGCTGGAGCAAGATGCATCCCTGCCAGGGTGGGACCCTCCTGAATCAGGACCTCGGCCAGACCTGCTGCTCCTCCCGCCCTCCCGAGAAGGGCTTGCCGGCCAGCCTGGTGTGGACAGGAGACCCACTCAGGGGACAAGCCTGCTGCCTCCCGCCTCCGCAGGGTCCCAACAGCATTCCTCACTTCCCACAAGCAGCTCAACAACACAGGCTGCACTCAAATGCCAACTACCCCTTTCCAGCTGGCTTCTTCCCTAAGACCCAGATAGGATGATTTTCACGAAATGTTTTTTTTGTTTTGTTTTGTTTTTGAGATGCAGTCTCACTCTGTTGCCAAGGCTGGAGCACGGTGACGTGACCTCAGCTCACCGCAACCTCCACCTCCCAGGTTCAAGTGATTCTCCTGCTTCAGCCTCCCGAGTAGCTGGGACTACATGTATTTTTAAAGGAAATGATGCCTTGATGCTGCTAAGGCAAAGTGCGGGAGGAAGAGGGTGTAGTGGGAGGAAGGGCACAGCGGGAGGCCTTGGGGCATGGAGGGGGTGGCTGAGTCCTGCCTGGTGTGAGAAGGCAGGGACACCAGGCCACTGAGCCATCGGTGACCCCGAAGCTCACAGGCCTGACCTGGCTCTGAAAACATGGGAGGAAGTGAGTTCCTCAGGGATCTCACTGATTTATGAGGACAGTTACTTAATCATGCAAATATCTACACAGAGCTGTGGGTTTGGAGCCGCGACTGATCCAAAATAGTGTGTGTATTTGTATGTGTTGTGAGCACATGTGTACATGCGTGCATGTGTATATGTATGTGTGTGTGTGTGTACACGTGCATGTGTGCTGTGTGTGATGTGTGCCTGTATGTACTTTGTGTGTATATGTGTATGTTTTGTTGCTTGTGTAAGTTGTGTGTCTATGTGTGTGCATGTGTGTTGTGTGTGCATATGTGTAAGTTGTATGGGTGTATATGTATGTTGTGTGCATGTTGTATACGTGTGTAATTTGTGTATGAGTGTATATGTTGTGTATGTGTACATGTATGTGTAAGTTGTGTGTATGTTGTATATGTATATTGTGTGTGTGTGTGCACGTAAGTTGTGTGTATGGTGTATATGTATGTTGTGTATGCATGTGTATGTAAGTTGTGTGTACGGTGTATATGTATGTTGTGTATGCATGTGTATGTGTGTAAGTTGTGTGTATTGTGTATATGTATGTTGTATGCATGTTGTATGTGTATGTAATTTGTGTATGAGTGTATATGTATGTTGTGTATGTGTGCACGTGTGTATGTGTGTGTGTATGTTGTATATGTTGTGTGTGTGTGCACGTAAGTTGTGTGTATGGTGTATATGTATGTTGTGTATGCATGTGTATGTGTGTCAGTTGTGTGTATGGTGTATATGTATGTTGTGTATGCATGTGTATGTAAGTTGTGTGTATGGTGTATATGTATGTTGTGTGTGCATGTGTGTATGTGTCAGTTGTGTGTGCACATGCAAGAGTAAACCTGGCCGAGCATGATTTCTACCTTAAATGGTCCAGTTTTGCTTTTGAGAAGCATCTGACAGTTGTGGGTTTGGCAGCTGAGGGCCCACTGGTCACTGCTGGCAGGCCTTCTCCCTGCTGAGCCCATCGTAGCCTCTGCCTGACTCATAGGAGGGTGCTCCCCAGCCCCATTCTCCTCTTCCTTGGCAAACTTCTTTCTCAGGGAAGTCAGAGTGCTGGGAAGAGGCCAGTGGAGCTGTGAGCCCTGAGTTATCTGGCCCCTTCTTTACCACCTTGTGGGCTGCCTGGGCAGGTCTCAGGGCCTCACCTGCTTCAGCTGAGGAAGGCTGGGGCCAATCGGGCACCCTACCTGATGTCTGCATACCCCCCATTCACTCTAAGAAGTCCCCACATCCCTTCAGCCTCCTCCTCAGGGTGTCACCCAGCTCCCTGCCCGCCGACTATGGATTATCAGTTCTGGCTACAGCCATCTGGGACTCCAGCGAGCTGGGCTGATGGCTCTCACTGCCTTTCCTGTCCCCCCGTCCTGGTCCACTGAGTAGGGGTTCCCGTCAGAGCTCAACCAGCAGCATCCCTCTGGCGGGGTTCATCCTGTCTGGTCTGCGCCCCCAGCCCCACCTTCAGGACCCCCCCAGTGCCAGCCTGCACCACCCTGTCTTTACTTGGGTCAGCTTTCAGGCAGCGCCCCTCCTCCAGTGCAGCTTCCAGGCCCGAGGGGCACCAGGAGGTTTCCCTCAGGCGTCCGAGGCGACCACCACAGGTGACTCCAACAGTGTCCAACTGATCTGATCAGCAAAGGAATTTCCATTGCTCAGCTCAGACCCAAATTCATTGAGAAAGGAACAATTCCAACCTTCTTGAGAAGGAGGGGCCGGGATATTTTCCACAGCCACAAAGAAAGGAGAGGCTTAAAAATACCCTCAACTCCATCTTCAGAACAATCCCCCACGCTCCTCCTCCTGCAAACCTTTGTCCACCATCGGGTCTCAATTAAACCATTTCCTACGGAATCTGTCCCCATCCATATGAGCTGCAGGCTCTGGTGCCTTTCCCTGCACCCAGCGGGGAGCTGCTGTGCCCCCAAGGGGAAAGCATTAGGCTCAGTTCAGAGGATGGGCATTGCCTCCCTGCCCCACACGCAGCCGTGGGCACTGAGCTTGCTACCTGTCCTGGGTCCACGTCACTGGGTGCTACTGACCACCTCCCAGCTGTTCACGTTTTTACTTCCCCAGAGAGCTGAGGGCCCTCACGTGCAGGGGCCCGTATCTCTGACCCCTCAGCCCCACCAGGGGCCCATGGTGAGACTTGGCTCAAGCCCCCAGCCAGGCTGACCTGTTCACAATGGACGTGTGTCCTCGGTACACCTGCAGACACTGCCCGGTGAGCACGTCCCACCTCCTGATGGTGCAGTCGGCGCTGCATGTGAAGGCGGCCTCATCCTCCAGCTGGCAGAAGGTCACATAGCTTTCGTGTCCTGCAGATGAGGGACAGGAGAGATGTGAGCATACTGGGGATGAGCATACTGGGGATGAGCATAGTGGGGATGAGCATAGTGGGGATGAGCATAGTGGGGATGAGCATAGTGGGGATGAGCATAGTGGGGATGAGCATAGTGGGGATGAGCATACTGGGGATGAGCATAGTGGGGATGAGCATAGTGGGGATGAGCATACTGGGGATGAGCATACTGGGGATGAGCATACTGGGGATGAGCATACTGGGGATGCCAGCTGCTGCTTTTCTTCTGGGAACAATGTTTGGAAAGGGAAGAAAGCAGGATGTAGAGAGTGTTTGAAACAAGCTGGAGTCAATTAGCATTTGTTTTGTTTTGTTTTTTTTTGAGACAGAGTCTCACTCTGACACAAGGCTGGAGTACAGTGGTGCGATCTGGGCTCACTGCAACCTCTGCCTCCCGGGTTCAAGTGATTCTCCTGCCTCAGCCTCCTGAGTAGCTGGGATTACGGGCGCCCGCTGCTACACCGGGCTAATTATTTGTATTTTTAGTAGAGATGGGTTTTCGCCATGTTGACCAGGCTGGTCTCGAACTCCTGACCTCAAGTGATCCTCCTGCCTCGGCCTCCCAAAGTGCTGGGATTACAGGTGTGAGCCACCGTGCCCAGCCCTCAACTCATCCTTTTTAAAGAATGACTTCAGTCTGAGTGATTCTCAGGAAGCATGGGGTACCAGTGAGGCAGGACAGATAGTCAGGGAAGTAGCCATGTCCTCAGGATGCAGCAACCATGGCGACTGCGCTGTCAACACAGTAAGCCCCAGGATTCGCATGGCAGGCAGGCTCATTCAAGCAAAGCTGTCTCCAGTAGGGACTTCCCCTGTAGAGAGCACGTGCACTTTGATTTTTACCTGTCCTCAGAGTGACACTCTGCTCATTACAATAGTAAAAACACAGCCCTGCATGGAGATGTAAGATGCCAGTGAGACACGTGACGTATGAACAGGGATGCACAGCCACTGTGCATGTGCACACAGAACATGCTTCCCAGCAACCCCCTTCCCCACCTGCTCACGAATAATCAGGTAAGACTCCGAAAAAGGGATCCTTCCTCCAGCCGGTCTCTGCTGTCTCATCCTCATGGGCAGCCCACCCTGACTCCCCTCTCGGGGCATTCTGTCTATTCTGCACCTAACTTTCAGGGTATTCTTCCTCCTGTGCAATACATTGCTCTATGCTGCATCTCCTTTGCTGTGTCTCGTTTCAATTCTTTTAAACTAAGAAGACAAGAACTGAGGTTTCACAGCAGCCATCAGCAGCAGGAGCAATCCATGGGTACTCGCCTGCACCTTAAACCCTGTTTCCTTGGCTTCCACTTTTGCCTTCCTCCCTCATCTCCTTCCCTCCTCATTCTTTATCATCTTCTTTTAGTCTTTTTCAAACCTTTCAGCTTTTGCATTCCACGTTTCCTCACCTGGGATGGGGACAGTGCCTGCCTCACGGGATGTAGCGCAGACTGAGGACAGAGGCAGCCGCAGAGGGAACGGCGCATGTTCACTATTTTTCTTACACTGGGGAGAGATACTGTGGTAGGCAGAACGACGGCCCCAAGACACCAGGTCCTAATCCCTGGAACCTGTCAATGTGACCTTACTTGGAAAGGGGTCTTTGTGGATGTGACGAGGTTAAGGACCTTGACTGAGGAGATTTTCCTAGATTATCCAGGTGGGCGCTGAATACAACCACAGTGCCTGAGCACTGGGGACCAGGAAGAGGGTGACTCGGTGTCTGTAGGGAGAACAGCGGCTGGGAGAGCAGGCATGCAGGGCTGGCTCCACGGGGCGCCTCCAGGCCAGAGTCTGAGTGCTTAGCAGATGGCTGATGAGGCCAGAATGGAGGGCCAAGAGTGAAGGGCCGTGCCACGATGTCTGGGGTCCCAGCACCTGAGACACCCCACCGGCTGGCTGGGACTCTATCTCATGGGTGCAGTTAGATAGCTTGACTATTGCCCTGGCTGCCAGATCAATGTTCATGCCTCAGGCATTGCTTAGCAGCCCTGGGGGCCCTCAGGGTCTCTGATGCTAGTAGGGCCTTCCCTTCAGGTAAAGATGGTGTGTACACAGTTGTCCCCCAATACCCATCAAGGATTAGTTCCAGGATCCCCTGCAGATACCAAACTCCGCAACGCTCAGGTCCCTGTGGTGTGGCATTTGCCCATAACCTATGCAATCCTCCCGCATACTTTAATTCATCTCTAGGTTACTTATGACAGCCACTGCCATGCCTACACATCATTTCACTCGTGTGGATTCAACGTAGTACTCGGTGAGCAGCGAAGCCAAATTTTGCTTTTTGGAGGCTTGTGGAGTTTTTTTTTCTTCCTGGATGTTTTTCATCTGTGGTTGGATGAACCCACAGGTGCAGAACGTGTTGGACAGGAAGGCCCAACTGGATTTGAGGAACTCAGGGACCAGGAAGTCAAATCAAAAGACTGTTAGAACTAAGAGCCATTTTACAGATGAGACAATGGACGAATTCAAACATCCACACATTTGGGGGAATGTACTGATTACACTAAGAATGTTGATAGAATTTTAAAATTTCATTTAGACAGCTGGTATTGGGTAGACAGGGATTTAAAATTCCTGGGTAGTTTCGAGCCAATTCACATCCACCCCTTCCCCCGACCCCCTGAGTTTAAGTTCAGTTACTCTTGGAAAAACGCAACGTCCTGAGTTCTAAGAAACATAATTTAACAAAAAAGTTTTCCCGTCTCCCTGGAGGGCATATACCAGGCTGCTAAGAAAACAATGCACGGATTAAGTCAACATTTGAAGAAACTGCAGATTCTGTTTCCTTTAAAATACATGTCGGCTTAAACATTGAGGGCAATGTGTTTGCCAAAACACAGGCTAGATTTTTGCCAACCCCAGAGGGTTTATAAAATATTTTAAGATTGTCAATAAACTTTCCCTGGGAACAGATCCGTCCCACCCTCCCTGCTGCCACCAGCAGGGCTCAGCAGAGAGATCCAGGCTGGAGACACCCAGGATAGAAAGGCGGTCAAGGTGTGCTGTGGGCATTCAGGTGCCGGGCACCCGCCTAAGGATCCTGTGGGGCTGATGCCAAGCCCAGCTGCTCCCGCCCCATCTCAGTCACAGGAAGGTGAAGTGCAGGAGTGAGTCGTATGTTAAGTCAAGAAAAGCACTTAAAAGCCAATGGCAGCTAGTGAGCTGTGGCATCTATACGTGGTGGAACTAAAGCCTGAAGCCAGAGATGCTGCAGACCTGAAATGAGGGATCACTTTCTGATGTGTGTAAGGAATAAAGGATGTATGCAGATGATGGCAAATTGGTAAGAATGTAAATACATACAAAGATTGAAGAAAACAGGCAATGATGAAGGTTAAAAAAACCCTCCATTTCTGAACTGGGCCAGGCTGCCCTGATGCCCTCTGCCCTCTGCCCTGTGGCAGAGCCTGGCACTGAGCCAGCAGAGGCCCACAGCGGTCAGGGTTCTGCTGTGGATAGGCTCTTCCCCTGGGTTTCCAAGCAGTCACCCGCATCTGAACACACACCCAAGTGAGTCACGGGTCAGAGCCGGGCCAACAGAGCATGTCCCCAACCCCAATCCCCATGTTCCACAGAATACTAACCAGGCCTCCACTGACCCAGGCCTGCGGGATCACCCTAGCACGGAGGACACGGACCCAGGCCTGCCACCCCTGGAGCTGAGGCCCTCACCCCAACGAGGCACCCACCCCAACCCCGCGGACCCCAGGACCGAAGAGGGAAGGCATTGGGGAGGGCGGGTTCATCGTACCTCCAGGGGCTGCAGGGATTGTGCAGAATAAGCAAAAAAGCCAAACTAAAAATAAATATTTCTGAAGGGATGAAGAATGCAGATAAGATGCAGTTATTATGTTCAAAGAACATGCTGAGGCCGATAGTTTTCTGCCAAGGTAGCGCCTGCACACCCTGAGGACTCACTGGAAGTTGCAAGTCAAACTGCTCCCTCCCTCACCACCCCATGCAGGAAAAGCAGCTCAGCTTCAGACCTGGTGGTGGCAGGTCTCCGCTGGCGGTGGGCTGCAGTGGGCCTGTTGCCCCAGACTTGCATGGAAGCTGTGTCTCCCTTCCCTGTGTCCCAGCTTCAGACAACGGACTGGACAGCTGCCCTGGTGGCCACACGGGGCAGGGATGGCACTGCTGACCTGGCTTACTCCAGCCCTTGTAGCACAAGGGGTTATTTTCACTTGGGAAAGCCCCACTGAGCCTGCCGTCCAGGACTGAGCCTTCCTCTGCTCCCCAATCCCCCTCTTTTCCACCCTGCCCCCACCAACTACATGAATCCACAGTGGGCTCACTCTTATCTAAGACTCCCACTGGGTTAGATAAAAGGGAGCCCACCGTGGGTTCGGACAAGTGGGAGCTGCAGGTGGAGACTCTAGGTCAGGATACGTTCCCCTTCCCCATCTCCGACCCTGCAGGGCTCCCTCAGACTGGCTGTGGCCATCCAACCTGGAAGGAAGCCCTCTCAGCTGTTTCTAGGATGCAGCGGCTGCATCCCGGACTCAGGCCCAGAAGAGGTGGCAGCCTTGCTGGTCTGAGCCACAGTCACTCTGGTTCTTCTATGCTCCACCTGCATTTTGCAGAGTGTCCCTTTATTAAACTCTCCTGTTAGAATCCAGTTTTGAGGGTGCTGGGACCCTGAGGCAGGTGACATCTGGGCCCAGAAGCACCGACAGTATGGCTGAAATGGACACTGAAGTGGCCACCAGAGACTTGTAGCAAATCTGCAAGGCCCCACTTTGAACCAAGGCCTATGCAGCTTGGCTTTCTGGACTTCTCTGGTGGGAGCGGTCACTTGCCCCCAAGCCGTGTGAGGCTGCTGTAGCTCTTGTTACTGGTGTGCTCCAGGCCTCCTTCAGCCCAGTCTTCTCCGCCACTGCTCTCCTGCCAGGTTTCACAGGGAATCTCCTAAACCACAGGCTCCCAGCAAATGGGAATGTGCGGTTGTACCCAGGAAATGAAACACAATCCCCGCCCCCTCATGTTAGAAGCCGAGGAAGCGAGTGGGACAGCCACAGTGGGCTGCCACCTTCAGGCTGAGTCCCCTACTCAACTGGAACAGGATAGGATAGGCACCACCATTTTGGAAAATGCCACTCATCTCACCAAACCAACAAAGTGCCCCCAAGTAAGGAGATACCCAATGAATAAACCTGAAAAAGAGGGGGTCAGGGATAAGCACGTGGCAAGTAATTCTTCTCTTTGCAGAGTAATTGCAATGAAGCCTTTTTCACTGTGAGCCAGCCCCTGACTGCCCCTGCTGCCATGAACACAGCCAGAGGTCTCCAGAGGAAAGACCTCTAGAGAGGTCTTAGGAGTCGCCAGCCCCAGCCGCTCTGCCCAAGAAATCCAGGACTGGCCAACCACAGGCTCCTGTGGGCCAGAGCTGTGCAAGGACCAGGAAGGAGCCGGAGTGGAAAGATCTAGATTTAAAGTGAGGACGCTTCTAGGGATGGGGCCACCACAGACCAACCATGTGGTCCGGACACAACTTCCCCCGCAGTGGCATCTGGGGTAAGAGAAGCGCCATGCAGTCTTCAGAAGCCCTCTCTGCCACAGACCAGCTGCGGCACCCTGGATGAGTCCTGCAACCGCACCGCGCCTCCGGGGATGTTGGCGACAGCACCCACCCCATTGTCGGTGGTATCTAGAAAACAACGGGAATGCCGCGTGTGCTGCTAAGGAATCTGCACCTCCCACTCTCCTCTGTAAACTGGTGTCAATCCCACCCGCCTCAGTGTCGTGAGGATTATCATTACACAATAACAAAGCACAGAGATGTGTATTTATAAAATATGGGGCACTAAACAAATGTTAAGACGTTTTAATATTTCACTGATACAAAAAAAATCCTGCGGGAGAAAGGAACTGGCAAGACCTTGCTCTCCTTGGGGGTCCACACCAAAGGACTGTCACACATTCGCGATGACTCTTACAAGTTGAGTGTATCAGCAGAATCTCAGGATACAGAAAGATGACCTCTGTCCCCGTCCTTGAAAATTTCTGAAATGTCAACCCATATAATAGCAAAAATAATCCTAGCAAAATGGGCTGCAGTTCTTTCATTCCAGTTTCCTGCTTGAGTGGGGACAGCCCTGCCCTCAATTAGGGCAGAAGATCGGGCACCCTCCCCGGAAAGCGAGTGTAAGTACCTCAAGGGGACAAGCAGCCGTGAGGGTCACCAAAGTGGGTGTGAAGGAAGGAAGCGCAGGTGCCAGGCACAGAGCTGGGCAGGAGGGTAGGCCCTGGAGGCTTGGTGAGGCTCCAGAGCTGCCATGGGGGCAAAGCCAAGGACCCACCAGGCCACAGGCAGTCTGGCAAAGCCTGGACCCCCACTGGGGAGAAAACCCACCTAATGAGCTGGGCTCCCACAATCCATCATCCCCAGCCCAGGGGCTCCCGGGGCCAGCTGTGCATAAGAACCACCCAAAAGCTTGTTAGAAATGCCAATTCTAGGCTGGGCGCAGTGGCTCACACCTGTAATCTCGGCACTTTGGAAGGCCAAGGCTGGTGGATCACCTGAGGTCAGGAGTTCAAGACTAGCCTGGCCAGCACGATGACGCCCCAAGTCTAATAAAAATACAAAAAAATTAGCCAGGCATGGTGGCGAGCGCCTGTAATCCCAGCTACTCAGGAGGCTGAGGCAGGAGAAAGGCAGGAGAATCGCTTGAACCCAGGAGGCGGAGGTTGCAGGGTACCAAGATCATGCCACTGCACTCCAGCCTGGGCAACAAGAGTGAAACTCCATCTCAAACAACAACAACAAGAAACGCCAATTCTACAGCTCTATTCACGGAGGACTGCATCACTGGATCCCAGGCCTGGGGATCCGCATTTCAGAACCACCACCCACCCCTCTACTCCCAATACAGTCTTATGTTTGGGAGCAATACCAACTGGACTTAACATTTCTAAAAGACCTCACATTTTCCGTTCCTGGTTGCATGCCTGTAAGTGTGTGTGGCTGTTTGGGGGCGATGTGGTTAGTTTGTGGCCACCTCTCCATTATCCACACCAACTCCCAAGTAACCGGTAATCCAAAAGTCATCCCTGTTGGGTTTGAAATATCTACCCTATTTCTTTTTTTTGAGACAGAGTCTGGCTCTGTCACCCAGGCTGGAGTGCAATGGCACTATCTCAGCTCCCTGCAACCTCTGCCTCCTGGGTTCAAATGATTCTCCTGCTTCTGTCTCTCCAGTAGCTGGAATACAGGCGCCCCCCACCACGCCCGGCTAATCTTTTGTATTTTTATTAGACACAGGGTTTCATCATGTTGGCCAGGCTGGTCTCAAACTCCTGACCTCCGGTGATCCACCCGCCTTTGCCTCCCAAAGTGCTGGGATTACAAGTGTGAGCCACCACACCTGGTCAACTGCTCTTATTTAAAACCATCAGTATCAGGATTAGCCAATATTGGGGCTAATATCCTAGCTAAGTTGGAAGGCCTGAGAGAGGTCACAGAGAGTTCACTGATGATGATGATGGAAAAGCCGGCGGTGATCAAGAACTACCCACAACAGAAAGCCTCCCGGCTCATCCACTGCATGTGCTACCTGGGCGGTAGGAGGGTCAGAGCTGAAAGGGACCTCACAGTGCACAGGACAGGCCCAGGAGAAGGTGAACCCGAGGCACACTGACCTCCTGAATGAGTACAGGACACAAATAGAAATCAACAGGCATGCAGGCGGGGTTTACAGCAATGAGAGGGCTCAGACTGCCATCTACCCCTCACTGGCTGTGCGACCTGGACAAATTCCTTAACTCCCAGCCTGCTTCCATGTCTGTATGTGGGGTAACATAGTGTGACGACGGCACACTTCTCCGCACCGCTGGCTCTTAACAAGCCCCTATTATTACTACGATAGTCGTCAACAGGAAATGCCAGAAGAGCACAATTGGCCACAAAGAGGCCACAAAACACCTAGAGACAAGGGAAGGTTCGCTTAGAAGGGGTATATGTTTAACTTTTTGTTTGTTAACATTGTTGTCAAGGGAGATTTCCTGACGCTGGTTGACAAATGATCTTCGCCTTTGTAGCGGACGCCCCCCGGCCGCACCCTGCTCTGCACCCGCACTCCACCCCCGGACCTCACCCTGCCCTGCCGAGAGCTCAATAGCCAGATGGTGGGCCCAGACAAACGCTCTTCCGCGAGTGTGCGGGGATGAGCGGGGCTGGACTTCTAGAAAGGGATCTGCGGGCGCAGGAGCTGGGGTCCGCGGTCTGGGGCCGGTGAGCGACGGCGAAGAGGGCAGGGAGGGGGTGGGAGGGTCTACCTTGCAGGAGCGCGCAGCACTGGCCGTCGGCGGTGCTCCAGAGCCGGGCCGTGCCGTCCTCGCTGCCCGTCAGCAGGCGCTGCCCGTCGGGGCTCAGGCTCAGCCAGTTGATGCCCCCGCGGTGGTCCGCGCAGACCTTCAGGACCGACCCTCCGCCTCCCATCCCGCTGGCCCGGCGGGGGACAAGAAAGAGCTGCGCCCCGCTAGGAAGGGGCGCTCCGGAGTCCGCGCGGCGTCTCCGTACGGCAGCGGCCCGCGGCCATCGCGGGGAACTGGGACGCCGACTCCTGGGGAGGCATGTGACGAGGGTGAAGGACCCTAGCTCCTCGCTGCCTCCAGCCTCTGGGCCCGCGAACCCAGGGCGCTGCGGGGGTCGGCCCACTCCGGACCCCCGCCCTGGGTAGAGCCGTCCTGGGAGCGCGGGCAGAGAGCACCTCCTTCCCGGCACCGCTCGGAGGACCCACACCCCACCCGGCGAGCCAGGCAGCGGCGTCTCGGGTGCACAAGGAGCCCCCAGCCTCCTCTCGCGCCCACGGGGCGGGGGCGGGGAGAGGAACATGGGAAGCCGAACGCCCCGCGCCCTCCCCGGCCGAGCGCGGAACAATAAGGTCCAGCCTGGCTCCTCCTCAGAGACCACCCCTCACCCGATCCCCTCCCACTTCTCGGGCTGCGCCCCAGCCCCCATCCCGCGCGCCCGCAGCCTACCCCACCCCCTCGACCCCCGCCGTCACTGCGCGGATCCCGGGGACGGCTCCACGTGAGACCCTCCCAGCTGTCAGGGCTGCGCCTCTGGGCTCTGCCTCTGCCACCTCCGCCGCTGCCGCCTGGGTCCCCTGAGCCTAGGCCCGGGACGAGGGAGAAGGAGGCGGACAAAGGGTCCGGGTGGGGAGAACCGCGCGCCAGGAACTCATTTGGGGCGCAGCTCCACCGACCCCTCGGCTGCTCGCCTCCACCAGGCAAGCCAGGTCCTCCTATGCTCTGAGCCCTAAGGATCCTGCCCGAGGGACTCTCGGGGACTTGGGGACGGTCCCCCGATGGAAGGTGCGACAGGGAAAGCCCCGAGTCCGCCCTCCCTGGGAAATCACGTGCACACCCCGGATTCTACTTTGGTCCGGCCGGAGTGGGGATGGGGTGCGAGCCGCTGACGAGCCGCTGACGGGTCGGTGGAGCCGGGATGTCAAGTTCATCTTCCAGCCGCCGCGAGCTCCCTCGGCCTGGCGCATCTCTGATGGCCCCCAGGGTCGGCCTGAGCCCTCCTGGAGTGCCTGGCGGCTGGTTTCCATTAGGGCAGTTCCGGCGCCGACTTCGCTGGGGGCGGGGAAGGTGACCCCCCCCACTCGGATCCCCCAGGTCCTAAAGGTAGCAGGATTTCCAGAACTCTCCAGGGCTCTCTCAAGAGCCTGGGGGAGCAAGGCAAGGAAGGGGCGTCTTTGGCGAGCCAGCCCGCAACGGGACGACCAGCCCTGCACGCTCTGCTCTATGCAGACTCCAAAAGGAAGCCCCGTCGTGGGGTCTCCCAGGGCCTTGGGTCTTTTATGCCTTGAGTGGCCTAACCAGAGAAATACGTTGTTTTCCCTCAAAACTTGTAAATCTGCTGGCGCCTCAGCTTAAGGAGCGTGGCCCTTCCTTAGCAGGTGCCGGAGAGGGGGCCAGTGGAGAAGCGTTAGGGCGAGATTTGGGGTCATCCAGCCAAAGAGAGGGAGGCCGAAAGGAGAAACGTTCTCAGGAGGTGGAAGCTTCAGAATTTGGATGCCTGCGAGAGGGAGAGGACAGGGAGCCTCTTGTGCTGAGAGGCTGGGTAGACGGTTTTGTCCCCTACGGGCTGATCACGAGTTCCTCTTAGGAACCAGTGAACCTCAGGGGGCCATTGCACATCCAGGTGTGAACTGCGGTGTGGCCCCCAGGTGAGGACAGACAGGGTGTGGTGGGGTCTTGGGCAGGCCCTGCGCTGCAGCCCTTGGGGAAGGTGAGTGTGAGGACCACGGAGGCTGGGAGGGTTTATCTGGAGAAGTGCCAGAGGAAACCCAAAGTTTCTTGGCAGAGGAGCCAAGGAGACCCAGGCATCCACTCTTTTGGAGACTAAGTGGGGAGGGGTTTGAAAGCAGTTTGGAAGCTGGGGACAGACGGTAGGTTGGGCGAGCTTGCCTGGTCGTGGGCCAGAGGAAAGAACCACTAGGAGAAAAGCTTAACTTTCAAGGGGGTCAGGCAGGATTCCTGAGCAAGGTGGCACCCATGAACTCTGGTTCCTCTCTTCCGCAACCAGGCAACCAGCGCAAGCCGTCAGCCCCGTGCTCAGCTCCCAGCAGGCAGCGGGTTCTGAAGCGCCAGCGCCATCAGCTTGGAAGCCTGCAATCCACACACGGCTGACCTTGCCTACTTCCTCTTTCCAAGTTGACAGATTTTTTTATTTTGGCCTCTCCACCTTCCCCACCCGTCTTTCTCTGGTTTGGCACAAAGTGGCCCCCTGGTGGGGATGAGCAGCCGTCTCTGGGGGTTGAGTCTGGACTGTAGAGCTGTAGGTGCAGACGTCCTCAGCCAGCCTGTCTTCCCTTTTCTCTTGCCGGTCGTAGATTCCAGACTCTCTTCTGGGAAATTGCCCCCAAATCTAACAAGAGTACAAGAAGCTGGGGAGACTGGAAAACAGCACCAAATTCCCCTGAAACTGAGGTCTCCCCTAATTCCCCTGAAACTGCGGTCTCCCCCACCCTCCACCTTGAGATAGCGAAGCTATAGAGACCCAGGAGTCAGGCTGGGTCCCCAGCAGAACCTGGGCTCCCTTCCCCTTTCACACCTTTAACTCTTCTGGAGCCTCCAAGAGGGCCTGAAGTCCAGTGGTGCCCAGGCCTTCTTGGACCTAATCCGTTTATAAATGGAAGGCACCATGGGAAGGGAAACTGGTAGGAGGAGATGGTTAAGCTTTAAGAAGCAAGAAAGGGGCAGTGGTTAACAGGTGAAGGGTTGTGGGGGTGCATTTTGTGCCACGGAGTGCTTATTTCCGTGCCACAGGAACTGCCACAATTTACCCTGCTGGAAAGAGTGACCTTCTGGGGCCTCTCTGAGAAGCATGGAGAAAGCTGGATATTCTCAAGTTGTGTGTGGAGGGGGGGTGGAGGGTGACAGAGGGAGGCACCTTGAGGGGCGCCCACAGGGAACGTCATAGCCAGAGCTTTGTCAGAATTGCTTTTTCCCTCCTGGCACAACCTGCAGTGCTGGTGGTGAGGGTGCCTGTGGTCATCATCATCTTCATAGTTTGGGTACTTACTGTGTGTCAGGTACTGTGCTAAGTGCTAGTATTTTTCAACAGGACAGAAACCTTCCCAGTCCTGCAACCACCTGCAGACTCTCACAAGCACTGTGTTCCCGGGAGAAGACCTTGCTACCCCAGGCCCAGGGGAGTCGAGAGAAAACAAAGCCCTGAAGGTTTTTCACCCCAGGGGTGAGAGTGCGAGATCCAAGATATACTTGAGGGAAATTGTGCAGATAGTCCCAACTTAGCATTGTTCAACTTTATGATGGTATGAAAGTGATGGCATTCAGTAGAAATTGTACTTCAAGTGCCAATACAATCACTGTTTTTCACTTTTGGTGCAGTATTCAATAAATCACATGAGCTATTCAACACTTTACTATAAAATAGGCTTTGTGTAAGATGATTCTGCCCAAATGTAAGGGTAGTGCAAGTGCTCTGAGCACATTTAAGGGAAGGCTGGGCTAAGCAATGATGTTCCGCAAATTAGGCATATTAAATGCATTTTTGGCTTAGGATATTCTCAACTTGCAATGGGTTTATCAGAACATGACATCGTTAGTCACTCAAGGAGCATCTGTGCTACTAATGACACAGATGCTGGTTGGAGGAAGGCAGCCAGAGAAGGGCACAGTGTGGAAGAACTCAACTTTTTAAAGACAGAGGTCAGCTTTAGATATTGCTAAGAAAGAACTTAGAGAGAGAAGTTGATGATACTGGAGGCAGCAGGCAACAGATAGAGTGAGAGCCCCGAAGAACAAGAAGAGGAGGGAGTCTCCTCTTCTGGGAGCAGGAGTGTCAACTTAAATACTAGGGAGCCAAAGATGAACCTCGCAGAGAACCTGCAAAACCCAGTCTCAGAAATACTCGCCCACACCTAAAACCTCAGTCACTGAAAGTCTGAAGTCAAATGATTATGTGAAATCTTGGTAGTGGGTACATGTGGTTTCATTAGATTATTCTTTGTATCTATATTTGTACTATCTTATAAACACTATAAGTTTTAAAACTACGAAAGGCTCTATGAAAAATAAATTGGACTTCATTAAAATTCAAAACGTGTGCATCAAAAGACACTATCAAGAGAATGAAAAGACAGCCCATAGGATGGGAGAAAATCATGTATCTGACAAAGGTCTACAATCCAGAACGTATAAAAAAAACTCCTACAATTCAACAATGAAAGACCACAACCCAGTTTTAAAATGGAAAAAAGACTTGACATTTCCCTGAAGATGTGCTCATGACCAATGAGCACATGAAGAGATGTTCACTGTTAGCTGGGCACGATGGCTTCACGCCTGCAATCCCAGCACTTTGGGAGGCGGAGGTGGGCAGATCACCTGAGGTCAGGAGTTTGAGACCAGCCTGGCCAACATGGTGAAACCCCATTTCTACTAAAAATAGAAAAAATTAGCCAGGCATGGTGGCGGGTGCCTGTAATCCCAGCTACTCAGGAGGCTGAGGCTGGAGAATCGCTTGAACCCGGGAGGCAGAGGTTGCAGCCAGCTAAGATGGCGCCATTGCACTCCAGCCTGGGTGACAAGAGTGAAATTCCGTCTCAAAAAAAAGAAAAGAAAAGAAAAGATGCTCACTGTCATTAGTCATAAAGGAAATGCAAATCAAACATACAGTGAAATGCCACTTAACACCCACTAGGATGGGTAATCATAGGATGGGAAAAATAAAATAAGTGTGGGTGAGGATGTGGAAAAATCAGCTCTCACACACTGCTGGTGAGAATGTAAGATGGTGCGGCTGCTATGTGACCGTCTGGCAGTCCCTCAAATGATTAAACGTAGAGTTATAATGTGACCCAGCAATTCCATATATACCCAAGAGAAATGAGCATTATTCGTAATAGACAAGGGTAGAAACAGCCCCACGGTTCATCAGCCCATGAGTAGATTAACTGAACATGGTGTATGCATATAATGGAATACTGTTCAGCCATAACAAAGAATGAGCTGCTGATAAATGGTATGACGTGCAGGGACCTTGAAAACAGGTTAAGTAAAAGAAGCCAGTCACCAAAGACTGCATACTACCTGATTCCATTCATATGAGTGACCCAGAACAAGGGAGTCTACAGAGATAGTTGGTTAGTGGTTGCCTAGGACTTGGGGAAGAGGTCTGGGGAGTGGAGAAGTGATGGGTATAGTATACATGGTTCCCTTTTGGAGTGATGAAAATGTTCTAAAATGGACTGTGGTACTGGTTGCTTATTTTAATATATCTGTGAATATATTTTAAAAAACCATTGAATTGGCCGGGCGCGGTGGCTCAAGCCTGTAATCCCAGCACTTTGGGAGGCCGAGACGGGCGGATCACGAGGTCAGGAGATCGAGACCATCCTGGGTAACACAGTGAAACCCCGTCTCTACTAAAAAAAATACAAAAACTTAGCCAGGCGAGGTGGCAGGCGCCTGTAGTCCCAGCTACTCGGGAGGCTGAGGCAGGAGAATGGCGTGAACCCGGGAGGCGGAGCTTGCAGTGAGCTGAGATCCGGCCACTGCACTCCAGCCTGGGTGACAGAGCGAGACTCCGTCTCAAAAAAAAAAAAAAAAAAAAAACCATTGAATTGTACACTTTACATGGATCAGTTTTTCAGTTTGTGAACTATATCTCTATAAAGCTGGGTTGTTTTTTTTTTTTTTTCACTTTTGTTTTTTACTTGGATGGAGTCTCACTCTATCGTCCAGGCTGGAATGCAGTGGCGCAATCTCAGCTCTCTGCATTGAATCGAAACGATTCTCCTGCCTCAGCCTTCTGAGTAGCTGGGATTACAGGCATGCGCCACCATGGCCAGTTAATTTTTGTATTTTTAGTAGAGATGAGGTTTCACCATGTTGGTCAGGCTGGTCTCAAACTCCTGACCTCATGATCCGCCCATCTCGGCCTCCCAAAGTGCTGGGATTACAGGCGTGAGCCACTGGCCTCACCAAAGCTGTTTTTAAAAAACCATACATACAGTGAGATATCACTTCATATCCACTAGTCTGGGCCATCACTTTTAAAATGGAAAATCACAAGTGCTGGTGAGGATGTGGAGAAATTGGAACACTCATGCAATGTTGGTGGGAACGTAAGATGGTACCGCCACTTT